AAATGAGCACATTGTTTGAGGCTGAGCTCTGGATACCTGGCCGCCTCTGCGGGCCCCTAGCTCACGTGCTGAGTAACTGCTCTTCCTTTGGCACTACTTTGATTTAGACCTGTTGATTTGAAAACTGGTATTTCCTCTTTTTTGCGACCTTGCCTCCCCTTCCCCCACTGGCCCAGCCCCCTTCCCTGCACCTTAGACTTGCGCTCCTCTCTTTTAACGTCCCTTCGCTCTCCTGCCTGAGAAAGGACTGGATTTCACACCTAATTAAAAAGATTGCATTGCCTGCTGTTCCTTTTCTTGTTCCTTTCTCTTATTCGCAGGCAGCTTTTTATTCTCATGCTAAGTCCTATCCGTGGACCCCTGCGGCTTGCAGGACAGGCAGGGGCAAAGTTCCTCTAAAGCTGAGCGCCAGGCCCCCTCACCACCCATTTCTGCAGGCAGATTTCACCTTGGGGACTCAGCCCTGCTCCAGCCCCATCCATTTGTGCGCTTGCAGAACCGTCACTGAAGAGTAGTGACAACCTCACTGTCCACAGGACATTCCTGGAATGTTCCCACTGAGTGTCATCACAGACTGGCTTTCTTGCTCTGGTAGAAAGCCAGGTGGGTAGGTTATTCTTTAAAATATATGAAGAGCTATTTTTAATAACACTTTTCTCTTTGCCATCAGTTTTATTGTCATTCCACTGTGGGTTTCCTTAAGGCAATGTGGCATTTTCAGATACACAAAAATCTATGTAAAGTTGTGTAGTTTTGAAGATTTGGGATTTCCAGGGGAGAGAGGTTAGTTGGTTTGGGGGTGTTGGGAGGTTTTGTGGGGTTTTTTTTCTTGGTTATTTTGAATAGCCCAAATGCCTATTCAGTGCCAGTCTTGAAAAGAATGGAGTTAGCATTTTCACACCATTCCTTCCTATACAGTCCTGAATACCATCTAATCAAGATTTGTTTTCAATGGGGGGGACAGATCTACAGTAGGCTATTTCAAATTTATCCCATTGGAATCTATACATTAATGCCCATTGGATGAAAAGGACGTGCTCACAAAAGCCTGGAATTTGCCTTACTGTGGCAGAAACTTTCCCACTGTATTCGTCTTAAAAATAAAAGCAAGCCTGGGAAAGGAATTGCCTCGGCATTGTGTGCTGGAGGAGTGAGGCGTGCTTGAATGGAGAGGCAGCCTTTCCATCACATCTGTACCACTATCAGCAAAAGAGAAGTCAGCCTTTCATGGCAGCTCGCTGTGGTGGGGGCCTAGTGTACTGAGGGAGATGTTTAGAGTCTTGTCTGTAGAAATCCAGAAGGCTGATAGGGACAGCTTGTATCTTTGTAGCTTGTATCTTGTAGAGTTTTTCTTTTCTTCTGTGGTTCTTGGTGAAGTGGCTGAAAACAGTAATGTAATAGTCATATTTGCTATATAGCAAATAATCTCATTATTTAGATTTGCTAAATCTTCACTCCAGCTTTGTCAGAGTTTTCTCATGAAAGTGTGTGTGTGAAAATATGTAAGATAAAATAGATTTTTAGTACTCTCTCATCTCTTAAGCAGTGTCTATCATAGCTTTTAGTCTCTTTGTCTCTTTTTCAAATGAGAATGAGTGTAGTCCTGGATTCTTAGTTATTCACGTGTCACTCTTCATAGTACCAAGAAGTATGGGTTCTAATCCCAACTCCGCTACTTGTTTGCTTGATGCATACAACTTTGATCAAATCAGGTAGAAACTTTAGAACCATAACTTCCTCTTGCCTCACAGAAAACAGCAATAATGTCCTGAAATTTACCACAAAACCTGCAGAAACAAAGGAGGTCTTAGGTAGAGAATTTCATACTGTGTAAAATGCTATAAGGACATTAACAAGGGTAACAATTGGGAAGGGAATGCTCCTTAGAATCCGCTAAAGGAAGTCAGCTGGATCATCTACCTCTGCAGTGCAGTCCCTGTGAGTGGCACCATGGTCACATATGCTTTGAAAATAAGCCCACCTTGCCCAGAGACGGCGATCCTCCTGCCATCTGTGTACAGCCAGCTAACTGCTTAAATGAGAGAGAGGCTTCGGTGACAGGGAAAGCATGTGTAGAAAGTAATACATTTGAGTCCCAGGACTCATTGGTTTATTTCTCATAAATAAATAGACATATTGTACACGCTGACATGCACGTGGGCGTGTTTAAGTTAGATGGCCGCAGCTACAGTGAAGTCCCCAGGCCTAGAAGCAGGAAGGCTGGAGGAAGTCTTTAGCTTTCACTTAAGAGCTGAAGTTTGCAGCAGCTGAATGGACCCCTGATGTGTCACACAGGACAATTTCCCTGGGGTTGCTTACTACAAGATACAGAGATCTAGGTTGCAATCGGTGTGAGGCTGCTTTGTTCTGAAAGCCCACTTCCTTGGCCTCTCTCAACCTGATAGCTTGGTTTTGGATTCATACTCTTCTCACCATTGTAACCAAATCATGACAGAAAAAACCTTGAGGGAGTGTCCTAGTTGGATTCCCGTTCCCGTGATAAAGACCATGTTCCAAACTTACTTGGTAAGCAAAGGGTTTATGCTGTTTTACAGGTTAGATTCCGTTGCGGAGGAAAGTTAAGGTAGCATCTAGAAGGGAAGCTGAGATCTGAATATATTGTATATAAAAAAAAAATTTTCAAGAAAAAGAAATGGAAGTAAGGAAGGATAGAGGAAGTGAGCCTCCGGGGAGGAATGAAGCAGAACCAGCAGGAACACTGTGTGGTCCTTTGAATAAGAATGGCCCACATGGGTTGAGGGATTTGAATGCTCAGTCCTCAGGGAGTGGCAATCCTTGATAATGATTAGGGACTATGGCTTTGTTCGAGTAGGGGTAGCCTTTTTGGAGGAAGTGTCTCCCTGGGGGAGGGCTTTGGGATTTCAAAAGCCCAAGCCCAGCTCAGTATCGCTCTCTTCCGGCCTACGGATCTAGACGTGGAACTCTGAGCTGGTTCTCCAGCACCAAGTCTGCTTGTGTGCCGCAAGGTCCCCGCCATGATGATCATGGACTAAACTTCTGGAACTGTAAGCCAGCCCCACTTAAATGCTTTATTTTTAAGAGTTGCCGTGGTCCGGGTGTCTTTTCCCCGCTGTAGAGCACTAAGACAGCGTGCCTCCCAACTTCTCAGCCTCATTTTTCACACCAAGACCATCTGCCCAGGGCTCTCCTTCATCAATTATTAGCAATCAAGAAATTGCCCCCATAGCAACAGGAGGCAGTTTCTCAATTGGGATTCCCTCTTCCCTGGTGTCTCTGGCTTATGTCAAGTTGACAATAACTAAGTACCACTGGGAGGAAAGGTTTTTCTTGGGTCGTGGTGTCAGAGGGTTCAGCTCAGGCTTGGTTGGCCCCGGAGTAACAATGGACATATATGGCAGGTGTGGTTCTTCACTGCATTATATACAGGAAGCAGAAAATTCGAAACGCCACAGCAAGATCAGCCCTAAAGGGCCCCTTGACCTGTGATTACTTCCTCCAGCCAGGCCTGCCCTCCTACTTTAACCACCTCCCCAAATAGTTTCTTACTTTTAATCTACTAAGGGCTTAATCAGCTCAGTAGGCCAGACCCTCATAATCTAGTTATCGATGATAATTCCCTCTCGGACAGAACCAGAAGTGTTCCTCACTAGTCTTTCAGGTACCTCTTAATCCAGGCATGTCTTCTGTCCAAAGGGAGCATTGCAGATTGTGAAGTGACTGTGTGGTTCTGGCTGAAGAATGACTTGTAGAAAGGTATCTTGAGAGACCCGAGAGGTGAGGTAGAAAATGGGGCGTGCCTGGGACTGTGCCGTACACGTCTGTTTTCTTCTCTGCATGGAGCCATGCTAGCATTAGCACCTGGCTTGACAGCCTGAAACATAGGGGTGGGAGTTGGTCAGATGGGCAGAGCTTCCACAGAGATTATTTTCTTCCTCCTGGGGGCTGTTTAATAGTTCTACAAAACATCCTATTGCTCAAAGAAAGCTTGTATCCCACCTCTAGATCCCTTCCTGGTCTCCTGGCCTGGTTATTAACAGTGCTCTCTTTCACTCTGAAAGTGGCTTTTTTGAATAATAAATGTGATCACCTAGTGTGACCACACTCAGCACATCCAGCTCCGGCCTTTTAAGACATTCTTCCCGAGTACTTTAATTCCAGTACTCAGTACTCGGGAGGCAGAGGCAGGCAGATCTCAAGGCCGGCCTTGGCTATGTAGTGAGTTTCAGGACCACCTAAGTGACATAGTAAGAACCTAGCTCAAAAAGAAAGAAAGAGAGAGAGAGAGAGAGAGAAAGAAAAGAAAAGAAAAATCCTTCATTAAGCATCAGCAGCACCTGTATCACAAAGAGTCATCCTTGAAAGTGCTCAGACTGTCAGGGACTGTAAGAAGAGTGCAGGTACTGAAAGCAGCGAGAAAGTGCCCCTCCTGCAGGCAGATTGCTTACCCTACAATCTGGAAAGCTTGGTGGAAGCTGTTTGCTAAACATCTTAATCCGGGTTGAATTTTCCTAGAATTTTTACTTATATGGTATGGGATATGATAACGTGCCATGTATACTAGGAAGGGATTTTTAAACTATGAATACTGATACTGCCTATCAATAAAAATAAGAAACTTCAGTAGTAACTTGAGAAGAGGTGAAATTAAAATTTCCCAGAGGACTTGGGATTTGGCCTAACCAAAGTAAGGTGGAGTGTTCCCTAAATTCAAATACATCTTGGTCCACTCTGTTCTTCATGCGGTAGCTACAGAAATAGCAGGCAACAACCTATCTGGTTATCCTTTGAGAAGACAACTTCCCCTGAATTTTTTGGGTTCCGGTATGAATGTGATATCCCATATAGCTGGAACACTAAAACCAGAGGTGGAGAGAAACTCAAGGCGTTGGTTGCCTAGGCTGTGTGAGCAGCCTGACCAACTTGTGTGTGTCTTCAAGGTTCTGGCTACGAGTGTTAGAAATCCAATCAGCGAAATCTGACTATGTGCCCTGTCTTGTATTTGCCTCACTGTACTGCAGGTGACATCAGTTGCAAGGGGATGACCGAGCGCATTCACAGCATCAACCTTCACAACTTCAGCAATTCCGTGCTCGAGACCCTCAACGAGCAGCGCAACCGTGGCCACTTCTGTGACGTGACGGTTCGCATCCACGGGAGCATGCTGCGCGCACACCGCTGCGTGCTGGCAGCCGGCAGCCCCTTCTTCCAAGACAAGCTGCTGCTGGGCTACAGTGACATCGAAATCCCATCGGTGGTGTCAGTACAGTCGGTGCAAAAGCTCATTGACTTCATGTACAGCGGTGTGCTGCGAGTCTCACAGTCGGAAGCTCTGCAGATCCTCACAGCCGCCAGCATCCTGCAGATCAAAACAGTCATAGATGAGTGCACACGCATCGTGTCTCAAAATGTGGGCGATGTGTTCCCCGGCATCCAGGATTCTGGCCAGGACACACCAAGAGGCACACCAGAGTCAGGCACATCTGGCCAGAGCAGTGACACGGAATCAGGCTACCTGCAGAGCCATCCACAACACAGTGTGGACAGAATCTACTCGGCACTGTACGCTTGTTCCATGCAGAATGGCAGCGGCGAGCGCTCCTTCTACAGCGGTGCAGTCGTCAGCCACCACGAAACTGCACTCGGCCTGCCCCGTGACCACCACATAGAAGACCCCAGCTGGATCACACGCATCCATGAGCGCTCGCAGCAGATGGAGCGCTACCTGTCCACCACCCCTGAGACCACACACTGCCGCAAGCAGCCCCGGCCAGTGCGCATCCAGACTCTCGTGGGCAACATCCACATCAAGCAGGAAATGGAAGATGACTATGACTACTATGGGCAGCAAAGGGTGCAGATCCTAGAGCGCAATGAATCCGAGGAGTGCACGGAAGACACTGACCAGGCCGAGGGCACCGAGAGCGAGCCCAAAGGTGAAAGCTTTGATTCCGGGGTCAGCTCCTCTATTGGCACTGAGCCTGACTCAGTGGAGCAACAGTTTGGGGCAGGAGCCACAAGGGACGGTCAGGCGGAACCCGCCCAACCTGAGCAGGCAGCAGAAGCTCCAACTGAGGGCAGTGTCCAGCCAAACCAGCTAGAAACAGGTGCCTCCTCTCCGGAGAGAAGCAACGAGGTGGAGATGGACAATACAGTGATCACTGTCAGTAACAGCTCCGAGAAGGGTGTCCTGCAACAGCCGTCAGTCAACACATCCATTGGGCAACCATTGCCAAGTACCCAGCTCTATTTACGCCAGACAGAAACGCTCACCAGCAACCTGAGGATGCCTCTGACCTTGACCAGCAACACACAGGTCATTGGCACAGCTGGCAACACCTACCTGCCAGCCCTCTTCACTACCCAGCCCGCGGGCAGTGGCCCCAAGCCTTTTCTCTTCAGCCTGCCACAGCCCCTGACAGGCCAGCAGACCCAGTTTGTGACAGTGTCCCAGCCCGGCCTGTCCACCTTTACTGCACAGCTGCCAGCGCCACAGCCCCTGGCATCATCTGCAGGCCACAGCACAGCCAGTGGGCAAGGTGAAAAAAAGCCTTATGAGTGTACTCTCTGCAACAAGACTTTCACAGCCAAACAGAACTACGTCAAGCACATGTTCGTCCATACAGGTGAGTGTTGCTTCTCTGAAGACTTGGCAACAGGGTATTGAGGGCTGCGGGAGGGGCAGAACAGGAGAACAGGTAGAAGGGGAAGGGTTGGAGTCATCTTTCAAATTTCAAAGAAACCCCACCGTGGACCCCTTCTAGAAGTCTAGCTATGCCCGACATAGGAATGAAGTACCCCAAATCATAAACACCCTATATGGAAAAAGGATGTCGTAGGAGTGTGCAGCCTGCAGAAGAGAAGAGTCAGGACATCATATCCAACACCTAAGTATTGACGTGGTATAGGTTCAAAGCTTGCTCTTTGGAGGCAGATTGCTCAGCCTGGCCCAGTTTCTTACTACTAAACTGTGGCACCTTGGAAGAAATCACTTAACTACTTTAAAGAGAGAGAGAGAGAGAGAATAGTAGTGATGTCCTTGTGCTGCTTCGAAGAATTATATTAACATGACTTACAGGTGTTCCTAGCATAGTAAGCACTGTATAAATTGTAGCTATTGTTACCATTATTAAGATGGCTGGGAAGAGGAGACATTAAGTTTATTCTATTTGGCTCAAAAAATAAAATAAAATGGAACTGGGCAACTGAAAGCTCTACAGAGAGTCTTTCAACTAAATAAAAGAAAAAGTTGAACAAGTTGCTCAGAGCTGTTTGCTTCTGCAAAGGACTGGGCTTCTGTAATTTAAAGAGAGGATGGATTGTTTTATAAAGATACTGTCCAGAGTACTTGGGAAAGATAATGGTTCCCTGGACTCTACCACGCCGGAGACAAAGGTCTGCAGACCTCCGAGGCTGCCCTTTCCCTAGCTCTATAGTAGGACACAACTAGAAGTGCCTCCTTATAAGAGATCATCTGTGCGGTTATGGCTTCACAGAGGTTCTCTTAGGACTAAAGTCACTGAGCACAGCAACAATCATATTTGAAATTCTTACAAGAGTCATTCTCCTGGCAAAAATTTGAGTCTAGAATAGTTATGTTAAATCAAATCATTTGTCAGGGAATACTTACATACTTGAATTCTAATACAGAGGAAATATTCACTCCTCAGAGCAGCCTAATTTCTTACACCAGGCTAACACAAATCTAAGAGATAGAGTATAAAGCACATTTATATAGACTATACTTTATATAGAGATACTTTAAATATATATTTTTATATATAATGCACATTTATATAGAGTATACTTTACATGTAAATACTTTATATTATATATAATATATAAAGTATATATATAAAGTACATTTAAGTAGGGGACTAGAAGAAAAGGGAAGACATTGATAAATAAGAACACTCTGTATGCAGTTGAAAAACTGAAATAGCACAATGCCTAAGCTGAACTTTGCCCTCTTTGTAGTTCAGTCTAACTCCGGATATGATGTTAGATGTTGTGTGGCTGTTTGCCGATCATTTGTGATTGAGTTTTAGTTTTCACACCTCCTAATACACACAGAGATTCATTGCTGAACTTAGACAGAAAATTAGGTAGTGGTAAATCACTATGTTTACTTAGGGCAAGGGCTAATGCAGTGATAACCTGAAATCAATCGAATTAACCAAACAGCATTTCTTAGTAGTGGAGTATTATATTGCAAATGTGCTCTCAAGTAGTTTTATCCTTTTCATCAAAAAACAGCTGATTTAACAGCCATGAAAATTAAGAATAGCACAAGTGGGAGAGCCGTTTCTGCAAGTATCTCTTTAGCCAAAGTTGACTTTGTTAATCTTGGACCATGTACATATCTTCTCTCCTCTTTAGTGTCTTCTATAGTCCCATCAGATAGAAAACATATACATCCTGTTAGATCATGTATTAAAATAAATTTGTAACACAAAACTCACATCCTACCCCAAATTGTCTTCACTGTATAAATTCATTTCTCCAGTAGATTCACCAAGGAACCCTTTAGTTAATCCAAGTAAGTGGCTTTCCCTGTGATAAAAATCAGCAATGGTTTTGCACACCTATTTATTACATAAGCAAAAAGCTATAGGTAAAGTCATTCTTATAAACCTGAATTGTATTCAAAGTATGGTCTGCACAATGCAGTAAATGATTAAGGGCCTCAGTAAATCTGAAGCTGTTTGAGTATGTGTGTGTATACATATGTATATACATGTATATGTTTGAGTGTATGATATACATACACACACAGGCACTACTTCTGGAAACAGTCTTGTGCCTATGCCAACCAGACATTTAGTTCTTTTTTTTTTAAGATCTATTTATTATGTATACAACATTCTGCCTCCATGTATGCCCGCACGCCAGAAGAGGGCGCCAGATCTCATTACAGATGGTTGTGAGCAACCATGTGGTTGCTGGGAATTGAACTCAATACCTCCGGAAGAGCAGCCAGTGCTCTTAACCACTGAGCCATCTCTCCAGCCCCAGGCATTTAATTCTTTAAAAAACAACTTTTGCCCTTTCATTCTAGAGTCATTTGGCACTAGCAGTTTAGAAAGTTCATCTATATTTCAATATTGAACATGGAAGCAAAAGAATTAGAGAAAAAGAAAGCTAGTACCGGTCTTCTTTCATGGGACAAAGCAGGGTTCGTTCTCACTTCTCCCATCAAGAGACAAAACTGAGGTCAAAATAAAGAAGTGAGAGAGATCAGAAGACAGAGGTGGAGGATGTTAGAAGGATAAGCCTTGGTGTTGCCATGGATATCAAGGCAAGCAACTTAGCAGGGTATCATATATTTTATCTGGAAACTCCAGGTGGAACTTTCCTTTAAGATCCAAACTTAGGGTATTTTACTTTTAAAAAAAAATCTATAAATGAATATGGGCTAGCATATGTAGTTTCTTAGCAAATGTTTGTTGAGTGAGTATGTAAATGAATGTTCAAAATGTGGACATGCTTTCCAGGAGAGCTTAATTCAAGGAACTTATACATAAATGCATTCTTTTCTCTGCACGACTTTTAGATTTCTTTCTTTAAAAAAATAGCTTTAGAATATATTGTGGGGTATCTATATTCCCACTTGTGGTTTTTAACCAACAAATTATAGTTCTTTGGGTTTTTTTCTGAACCATATTATCAGCAGCCCATCCATTGGTGATGCTTTTTAGCCCATTGATATCCTTTGCACTTAAGATAATTCTGCTCATTTCTTTGGCAGCACAGTTTTTCAGCCATGAATTCAGTGTGGAAAGAGTAGTAGCTGTAACATATCCGTGTTAGCAATAGGGTTCTAGGAGAGACACAAGACGGTGGTTTGACCATCTGTATAGGAATTGAACTATTAATTCTGTCAGGACAGTGGGTATCTTTTTAGAGGAGGAAAGCCACTTTGTAACTGAGTGACTTTAAGCAAGTTCTAGTTTGAACCTGAATCACAGTTTTTCAGGTCTTAATAATAGGTTACTCTGAGGATTAAGTAATGGATACAAAAGCACTAGACTATAAATGCTGTATCATTATCACAGTCACTTAGGAATATATATTACAGAAATACCATGCATTTTCCAGCATGTTCTAGGGGGAAAGAACTGCTCACAGTGGAAGGAGGAGTCAGCAAGGGTTGGGCACTTACTTATATTACTCTCTCAGCTATTGTTCATTTGCTGGTTGATCTTTAGAATATTAGCACAGAAGTAACAGGAGCTAGCATTTTCTGGGGTGTTAATACTGCCCCACTCATAATACCACTGTAAAAGGTCAGGTGATGTAGACCAAGTTCCCCAGGTATTTAAAATTCTACTTAACATCAGACTACCTGGACTGTCAGTGTGGCCACAGAAGTTTGTGAATGTGTGGATTCCCAGTTGGCAGTCTTTCTTAGACAGTCAGCAGGAAGCAGGCAGAAAGGCCAGCAGGTGATGGTACCAGCTCTATCCTGTTGCTACATGCCCTCCTTCACCAGACACCTCCAGGAGAGCAGCTACGCAGCCACTGACATCATGCTGTCGGGCCGCAGCTCACCCCCACTCTTAGTACCATGCCTTTTCCCGTTTTCTGGTCCAGTCTTCATTTTCCCCATTCACTGGACCTGCACTCCCCAGAACACCTCTGCTCCCTCGTCCTCTGCCTTCCTTGCTGTTTTATGTCTTACCAAGATCCATGCCTTGGTTTTCTCACCCCCTCCTCCACTATCCACACTGTGCTCACCCAAAGAATAGTAGGCATTGTGGTCCAGCAGAAGACGGAAAGGCAGACAGTGGGAGGCATAGGTAGAGCAGAAAATTGCATTTACTGTTCTTTACACAGCCCAGGAAAACCCTGACGAGAATAAGAAATGATCAGGAGAGTTCTTGCTGAGGCCCCAGTGCTAAGATCACAGTGCAGACTGGGGTGGTTGGACCTGTTATGATGGCTTTCACTGAAATGGCGTGAACCCTCTGTACCCACTTACTATCATTATCTTTATTTCCTTCCTTGTCTGTCATAGTGGAGTTAAGTATCAGAGCTGACCCTTGAGGGGTTAAAGAGCAGGCATTGAAAAATTGAGCAAAACATAAACTTTTACCACTCCATCCTTGAAAAGCCAGTATAGGCCTCTGCCCTGGTTCTTCACTTGCTGGTTGGCTTCTCAGCCTCCAGTGCTCAGTTACTGACAGGCAGGAAATACCCTGTCTTTGTTTGGGTTGACATTTTGTTCTTGGTACCACGTGTTCCGTTAACATGAGTAAGTAAGAGTGGACTGTATGCCTCGCTTTTAATTACTAGCTTCACTAAAACAGCCTGCTTTGGGAATCATCTGAAAATGTCTTTCTTTCTTTTTATTTTGGTTTGGTTTTTAACTCAGTACTCACTTTCTTATGCAGTGAAGTGATTTGATTTCTCAGTTGGTTTACTTTATCCTCATTTCCTGCAGGCTGGATGGAACAGTTTAGCTTTCCTTAAAATGACCTTTACTTTGTACCAAGTGCCTCCCCAGTTTCCCAAACAAATCCACACACATATGCTTTTGGAACTATTATTAAGTTATTGATTAGGAAACCGAGGCGTAGAAAGCCTAGATAACATGCCCAAGTCACTCAGTCAAGAAACAATTCATGGGCCTGGAGAGATGGCTCAGTGGTTAAGAGCATTGCCTGCTCTTCCAAAGGTCCTGAGTTCAATTCCCAGCAACCACATGGTGGCTCACAACCATCTGTAAAGAGGTCTGGCACCCTCTTCTGGCCCTCAGGCATACAGACAGAATATTGTATACATAATAAATAAATAAATAAATAAATAAATAAATATTTTAAAAAAAGGAAATAATTCATATCTGAGTCCTCCAGCAGGGAGGACTCCTTGTGCCCACTGCTCTTCGTGTTGTGGCTCACATTTCCTCTTGGCGTTTTGTGACCCTTCCTAACTGTGCAGACTTGCTGATGTGAACTGTAGGCTTAAATCTGGAAAGCCATCTGTGACTGTTAATCACGTTCACCTCACATGTCTCTCTTGGAGAGGCACAGTCTACAGACCATTTATTTCGTGATTACTGCCCCCTTTCCTTTAAGGTTTGCCATAAGTGACATGTAGGGATGGAACGTTGAATGATGCTGTTTGAAATCCTTCCACAAGAAGAGCCAGTCCAGGCAGATGTGATGGGAAAATACATCTCGGTCATCAGGCAGTCCCTGAAATGGCCAGCTCCAGCATCTCAGTGCTGGAGTAACTACAGAGAGTACCTTCCTCAGAGTAGCTCCCAGGTGCCTTGTGCATACTTTCCTGTGGCAGGCTAGAGAACTGGATTCTTTGTCCTGTTTAAAAATGTGGAGCTGCCAAAGCATTGAGTGATTAAGCAGGTTGCCCTCAGGTCATTTGCTGACAAGGCCGGGACTAGAGGCCTCAGGGGTTGTGGACCACCCTGAGATGAAGATCAGTAAATCCACAGAGCCTTAGCAAGTGCTTGGTCCAATCTATCACTCACAGAAGACAGACAAACCCAGAGAGATGAAAACACTTAAAAAGCCCAGGGTCACACAAGTAATTACTGGCATGACCATGCTACATGCATACAAACAATGTGCATACATATGAGATGGAGGGAAAGATGGCCACTGTGAAGAATCAATTTATGGTTGGATTAGAAGGGTGTGAAAGGAAAGAGCCTTGGTGGTGACCTTGCCTAGAGGAAGAGCGCAGTCAGAGGTGAGAGCTGCAGACAGCAAGAGCATTTTAACAGGGATATTCACCTTCCACCAGCCAAAATACCATCTGCAGTTTAAGACCCGTTTCCTATTAAAGGTGGCAGGTGGACATGTTTGAAGAGCTAGTTGGGCACTTCTCATAGCCACTGTAATTGTACCGAGTACAAGCATGGCAAAGAGCAGCTGAGTAGCAAGCATGTTTACTGCTGACAGAAATGCCTCAACTAAAAATAACATGCATGACTGTCTGTAAGGGGATCTCTCCTTTACAGAAACTTTACCAGTGTAAACACTATGCATAGGCTGAGATCTTTAGCAAGCTGGATGTATTAGTAAGAAGTCTTCCCTAGATTCTACTGTTTTAATCTAAAAATTATTCTTTCAGCCCTAGGAGCCTCTACATCATGCGTCCTCATTAGAATGAGGAATTCTAATTCTTTAATCCAAGCCCCCTTATTTTAGACAATACCAAGAAAATTGTCTAGTGAGAGAAAGTTCCACAAGGTGAAGCGTGAGTATGAAGCATTCAGTGCAGACTGGCCTGATGAAGGTCCAGTGAATAGGCCTTTGTTTTCCTGCTCTCGTGCCCATGGCCTCCTTCAGAATGGGAAATGAGAAGAACGCTCAAGGCCCTGTGGAAATGTGAGCTAACTCAAGTTTAAGGAGTAGATCCCTGGTCCAGCTGTACATTTCAGATGTGGAAACCTTACCTTAGAGGGTCTCGAGCTTGAGGTTTTGCACATGCTGGAGCAAATGCTACTTCAGGCTGTCAGTAATGAGGTGGAAGGGGTGGATCACACGCTTTAGAGAGTGCATGTCAACCATCAAAATCAGAAAGCAGCAAGTGCTGAGAACCAATACTACTAATAAAAGCTAGTCTTTAAGCAGTTATGCAAAGTGGTGTCCCAGACCCATAGACTTTACTTCTAGAAGGTCGCTCATGTGACTGTTCAGAGACTGTTCTTACCTTAAGATTTTTAAGTAGCGCGATCATTTAGTCTCAGAGCCAATGTTAGACAAAGCAGTAAACACACAAGAAAGAAGGGCTTGTGCCAGCTGGCTAAGGAAAAAAAAATAGAAAAAAACTATTTTAGAAATTGACCTAAAAGTTCAAAAAACATATGGAATCATTTAATGGGGGAGGATGTAGCCTTGTAATAAGAATGCCATGCAAGTATTCCCACACCGCCCTTGGTGGTCTACAGAGTGATTCCATATGTATTTCATGTCAACACCGTCACAGGAGGTAAGTGGGACTGTGTACCTCGGAGGCTCTCGGTGATTTGTTAGAATGGTGCACACTGCGTCCTGCCTGTGCTTGAGCAGAGCCGTGTGACTCAGAGATCAGTGGTTGGCCACCGTCTGTTCACCCTCCGCAGTCAGTGAGGCCAATCTGCAGAGCAGTGCAGTCAACACAGAATAGCCAGATCATTTTAGGTTTCACTCCAGGAAGATTTTGTGAGACACAGATATACTGAAAGTGTAGACCAGCAGCCCATGCCTAGCGTCAATAACAGGTGTATACTAGGTCAAACCGTGGAAATGGAGACTTTCCAAAAAGAACCAAGTTATGTGACCAATATTCTCACTTCCCAAAGTTTTTAGAAAAGCCCTGCCTCCAAAGATATTCTCTTTGTTCTTCATTCGCTAATATTAACCGGAAATATGTAAATCCTTAATAATGGCCCCGTAAATGATTCCTGTGGCCTTTTTTTTTTTTCGGGTGACCTTTGAAGAGTTAGGTTGTAATATGCTCTTACTTTCCAAGAGAGCCACTTTTGGTCTTGAGGAAATGGAAAACTCTAGGCTTTCCTGGCATCCTTGAAGCAAACTTCATCTGCACAAGAAAGCCAGGAAGGCCTAGATCTGTCCAACCAGGATGATCTTTGAAACAATCAAATTTTATTTTATTTTTTAAATTTTTTGTTTTTCTTTTGTGTTGTCTTGTTCTTCTGTCTCTCGTTCTCCCCCTTTGGTCCTGTCCTGTTCTGTCCTGCTGGCTATCTCTCGCATATCACCAGGTGAGAAGCCCCATCAATGCAGCATCTGTTGGCGCTCCTTCTCCTTGAAGGATTACCTTATCAAGCACATGGTGACGCACACAGGAGTGAGAGCCTACCAGTGCAGTATCTGCAACAAGCGCTTCACCCAGAAGAGCTCCCTCAATGTGCACATGCGCCTACACCGCGGGGAGAAGTCCTACGAGTGCTACATCTGCAAGAAGAAGTTCTCCCACAAGACCCTGCTGGAGCGACACGTGGCCCTGCACAGTGCCAGCAACGGGACCCCTCCGGCAGGCACACCCCCAGGTGCCCGCGCAGGCCCACCAGGCGTGGTGGCCTGCACGGAGGGGACCACTTACGTCTGCTCCGTCTGCCCAGCAAAGTTTGACCAAATCGAGCAGTTCAACGACCACATGAGGATGCATGTGTCTGACGGATAAGTAATACCTTTCTCTCTTTCTTACGAACCAAACAAAACAACAACAAAAGAAATAAACAAACAAACAAACAAAAAGCTATGGCACTAGAATTTAAGAAATGTTTTGGTTTCATTTTTACTTTCTGTTTTTGTTTTTGTTCCGTTTCATTTTGTACTCCACGAAGAACTGTATTTTGCCTGCTGGTACATTACATTTCCGGAGGCTCGGGCAAATAAGACTTTTCCCAGTCTCCCTTGGATGGTGGCCTTAAGGCCTGGTAGTGCTTCAAGAGCTCCACTGGTTGGATCTCTAGCTACTGGCCTCTAAATACAACCCTTCTTTACAAAAAACAAAACAAAACAAAAAAAACAAAACAAAAACAAAAAAAAGCAAAAAACCACACACAAAAAAAGCAAAACAAAAAAATCTTTTAAAAAAGTTAAAAAAAAGTTTAAAAAAAAGACAAAGTTGTTTTTCCACTCGTGAAGAGCACTACAAAGTCTATAAGGAGATGTAAAAGGCCTGCTGTCTGTAAGTACACCGCTCACAGTGTTTCAGTGGACATTTCACAGTTCTGGCCACTTGGACTTCATAGTAACCAGTTAAAACTGTAATATCGCTTCTGGCTGAGAACCCAGAATAGGCCCTGCTGTTTCCACCTACCACATTATTAAAGGGCTGTGGGATGGGAGGGGGCAGTGAGCTCAGTGGTGTGAGGAAAAGTGGCATGGCAGGCTTCTCCCCCAATTCTGCCCAGTCCACACACCCTGGCCCACCTCCACCACATCCCCCTCCCCTTTCAGCAGAAGCCAGAAGACTTGGACAAGCAACAGTGGCTATCGTATTTATTCAGTGTCTTCGCTGAGCCTCAGCCTCAGCGCAATCAGGAGGGACTTTCAAGAAAGGCAGGAATGCAGAGAAAATGGTAACAGATTCGCACCTATGTTTCTAGGTACAAGAGAAGGATTATTTCCAACAACCTTTGCAAAAAAAAAAGTGTCAGGATATATTCTTGTGGAAGAGAAAAAGAAAGAGAAATGGAGGGTGGGGGGAACAATAAAAGTTCTTGATGCTTTTTTAATTCAAAATTTTATAGAGGGGCAAAAGTGATGTTTACCAGATAGAATGCTGATTTTTTTAATATATTTACAACAGTATTTGTGTAAAAAAAAACAAAAAAGTGAGATTGTTAAAAGTAATTTTTTTTTCTCATTTTGGTCTTGCATACACTGCCACCAATCCCTTCTCATTTACTTTGTCTCACACACACATATATATATATATATATTTTTTGGTAAGTCAAGACTGTTAAGGTTAGCGATACTGCTTCCAGATAGAAAGAATAAAAGGCAACTAGAGTTATATTTGAAAGAGAGGAAGGATATTTTCTTCATATTTTTTCTTAAGTTCTTTTATTATTTTAAGTATTGCCTGGGTTGCTGAGGGCCTCAGAGGCCCACCCACCCCTGCTGTAATTTCAACTGCTGCTGTGTTTTGCTGTGTAGATCTTTGACTTCTGGCTTAAGTTGCTCCACTGAATCCTCTTCCATTGACCCATCTAGAATCCTGTCCTTTCTCCTGGGAGGGACGTGATCCTTTAGCAGATTTCCTACTTCTCCAACATCTTCACTGAGCTCTTCGGATTCTAGAATCCCTTGCTTTTATTTCTTTGATGAAACACTAGTAGTCTAGAGATCTTGACAGAGGGGGTTTGTTTTGTTTCTGGTCAGTCAGGCGCACTCCACAAAGTTCTCCCCTCCCACTGTGTGAAGGTCACTATGAGAAGCCTGTTACAGACCACAATGCGTCGATGCCAAAACTCTTTCTTCCTTTCAGATGTCACCCCTGGACTCTTCCCACCATGCCTAAGAGGGCTAGAAGATGATCTCTCTAGCTGATTATTAACCCTTGCTTTTTGGAAATTAACAATTTCCCAAGCTAACATCCAGTGAAAACTGGCCCTGGATCTCTGGTGTCATCCCAGATACCACTCTTTCTAGTTGGGATTTCTCTCTTTTGTCTTGATAAAGAAATCATAAGATTTTGTAATTATATACAGTGTCTTAAAGGAATTCCAGCTCAGACTATAACTTTTAAACCTAGCTAATACTCACAAAGTAGTTTCATGACTGGGCATGTTTTAGCATACTTAAAAGGAAAAGTAAATATTTCAATAATGCAGAAACACCGAACTACATTTTTAAAAAATAAGAAAAGAGGGTATTTTTGTTTCTAAACTAGTCTACATTTTAATTTAATTTTCCTCCTAATTTTCCTGTTAGCATTTTATTTACCAAAAAAAAAAAATGCAGCAAACTAGGGAAAATCTTCCAAGGCAAGCAACTCTGTAATGACTAAATTGGTTTTATTCATACATTTTAGACAATTGGTTAAGTTGGATCTTTTCCATATGTTCTTTGTGATGTTTCGTAGTTTGTGCAGTCTGAGTCGTCTTATGGTGCTTCATTCAGTGGATATTTTGCTAGGAGTTGTAATGTAGATTTGGATGGTTAGCTGACTACTGAGGATCACTCAGCGTGATTTCTAAGAGGACAACCAAGAATATGTGTGACCTGCTTTAAAAATGAGCTTCAGAAATGCTGAGGCCCTCTCCACCCCACCCACCTGCTGGTTTTACTGTTGAAAGGGTCAGTAGTGACCCTTGCCACCTTACCACCAATAGAGGGAGCATTAAGTAACTACATCACTGAATCATATTGATATTTTGAAACATGAGTCATTAACCCATTAGGAAAAAAAATGACATTGTGATAATTTTTCTTAATCTGGAGGAAAAATGACAAAATCATTGTATAAACAAATGAAAAAAGGTCATACCTAGTTTGAGTTATTTTCACTGTTGTCAGGGGTACGTTTTAAATAGTGTCTCTGTTCCACGCTTAACAAAGCAGGCAGAATTCATATTGTTTCTGGTAAAGCTTATATCGGGTGCCATTGGGCTTCCCCATCCTCTCCTGAACTCTGAAAGAGACCCATTTGCCTTAATGCTGTTTTGCCATCGTCAGAAGCTAAGAAACTGCATTAAACCCAATGTTTGTTGTAGAGCATGTAAGAAAAAGAACAGGTGACTGGAAGCCCTGATACACATCCTGTCCTTAATAAAGGGAATATTTCCTTTAAAGAGAGCGGGAAGATCCCTGAAGATTTCTTGGTAAGGTCCTCCTCCCTAGGCTCATTCCTACTGTATTTTTTTTCCAAAACATCTCACAGCCTAAAATATTTGACATTGTTCTCTAGAACTGGGAGGACACTAACCTGCTCTCAAGCAAAGATACATCTATAGGGCCACTGCCACATATTCAGCCTCTAAAGGGTGGCCTTCCCACTAACCGACAGTTCAGGAGACGAGCCTGTCTGCACCTCCTCCAGGAGATGCAGGTGCTTGATTCCATGCACCATCCTTGGCTTATAGCCACAAGGTGTGGGCGGGGGGGGGGGGGGGGGGGGGGGGGAGGTCTCAGTTTTTGGTTTCCAGTCCTGCAGTTTCTATGATGGATGCTGTCATTGCTTTAAAAACTGGGAAAGAAAGAAAGATCTTTGTAGTATATGGGAAAACATATATAGAGAGAGGGGGAGGCAGATGTTCCAGACAGGAGACCTGAGAAGTTTGAGGAACAAGAGCTGATACGCAAAAGCATACTAGTATAATTTTTTTAAACAAAATTTGATTAAAAAAAAGGTCTGAGGAATGTTTGTCTCAACACGTTTATATAGAAATTATGAAAAATAAAATTCCCTAGCACTAAAAACATCAATAGTGTCTCAGCATGGTGGGTCGTGTTTCCTATATTAAATATCAACATTTGTACAAAAAAGAGCCCCTAACTGTAAAATATACCCCCCAAAAGACAATAATAATGGATGTTCAGTTCTACAATTAAAAGCAAATAACTGAGAAAAACTCCCCCCCTCCAGTAATCTGAAATGAAAATCTTTATCAAAGTATTTTCATTGTAAATTTACCCTCCTCACAGTCATTTTGCAGGCTTTCCCATCCCAGTTCTGTTTGCCAGGAATGAAGGCAGTAAGTAACCCTGGCTCAGATCCTGCCATTCCTTCCTTCCCCGTATCTAGTAGGTCACAGGGGCCTTGGCCTTAGAAAGACTTGGATTTGCCTTTTTTCTCTAAAAATCAGAGAGCTTTTATCTTACATCGTGATATCATGTAAGGACCAAGAAAACCCTTTCCGGCCCATAAACAGGGAGAGTCTGTGTATCTGAGGCTAAAGAGTGAAGGTCTCTGGGCGAGCTGTTCATGCCAGTCTTCCTGTCCTGATCTGTCTCCATGTGCTTCCTTCTCACACAGCGGTGTGTGTCCTGCCCGTGCCCCAAAGCAGTGTTTCTTTCTGCAAAGAAGTTAGAAGGGAAGCACTGCTTCCTAAAACCTTTCAGGTCCCCAGTAAAACAGTCCAGTTCCTTGTTGCTTTCCCATTGCGGTCCTCTAAGATATCCCAACTCCTTTGCGCTGAGCAATGGTGAAAGTGAGATCGGCCTGGCCGGGATGCACTGCAGATCTGCCCCTCCTGAGCCTTCCTCCGATGCTGCCGATAGGGTCTTTTAATTAGTTAGGGCTGGCCGTGGGGAGTATATGGTGCCCCTAGGATCACATCAGGTTGGCTCTGCTGTGACCAGTGTGGCAGCTGCAGCAAAGTGAACACAAAGGTGTAGGCCAGGAGCAGACAGGACGTGCCCTGTGGGGAGAGAACAGAGGGTGGAAGGGAGCCTTTTCTGCTGTGACTTGACTCTTAAAGAAACCCTCCAAAATGAATTCTTTAATTTAGTAATGAGTTGAAGTCCAGGGTAATGGAAGCTCTGGGGAAGAGAACAAAAGAATTGCACAATGTATTCAGTACCCAACAATACCAAACCAGAAAACATCCAATCACAAAGCTAGGAAGTTTGGCAAGAGGTACTTAGGGAAACCTCCAGCCTTTTCCATGGGTAGGGTCCGCAGACTTTCTTTTGAGTGATTTCTGGCTCGAAGAAACCTCTTTACTCACTAGAAAAGAACTTTTATTTAAATGACCAATTTTGTCCCCCAGGGGAAAAAAAAAAGAAAAATTTTAAAAAGACAGAAAAGAAAAATAGGACACTAAAGACAGAACCATGTGAGTTGGTGACAAACAAAAGAAAGGGGACACTAGAATTTCAATAGACTCCCCAATTGGATGGGGGGGGGGGATGCGGGAAGCAAAGCTACCCAAGGGCCTCCCAGCTCCAGACTCCCAGTCTGCTGGGAGGGGACGGAGTGCTTGATCTGACCCAGCTGCTGCCTTTCTGGGACTGAACATAACTTCCCAGCTGGGACCATGGCAACCTCCTCCTCGGTTCTGTATTTTCATAAGGAAACAGGACTGTTCTCTTAGGTGGCATGGGGCGAACATCCCAAAACAAGCTCTGCCCTGTGCCCAGGCTGCTTTTCTGCTTGACCATGGAATCCACAGCAGTAAGTGGTGGGCATCACCAGGTCCCAGGCGTGGGCTGTGGACTTCCGTTCCCTCAGCAGAAGAGACAAAAGATGAAGGCTGGCAGTGCACACGTTCTTCTTGAGAACCACATGTCTCCTGCTCACTGAAGGAGGAGTAGAAAGGCCCAGACTAAAACAAGAGTCTTAGCACAGGACTGACTGACAGCTGCCCTTCTCCCATGTTCTTTAGACCCCATCTGTTGCTCCAAGGGCGAAATACTGAAGTAAACTCAACTAAGGAATTTTCACAAGAAACCATTAGGTTGTAGAATTATTGCCTTAAGTTTGAAACCCTGGGGGAAAGCAGACAAAAAAAAAATTACAGAAAATGGAAGGCTCTGAGGATAAAAACTTTTGCTTTTTACTGTTCCACAGTCACAAAAGTAAGCTCTATTCATGCCTGAAGACCATGGAAACAGTGACTTCCTGGGGAGGCACCAAACTTGTCGGGGAACCGGCTGCTTTCAGGAAGCAGCTATTTCCTGTCTACTCTATCTCATTGGTAGGTCGAGGCTGAATGTGAAATTAGTATGTTGCTAAGTAGCGAGTCCCGTTCAACACAATCACAGGTGCCTGGATGAGTCTTAAATGTCTCCTTAACGGGGAGAACAATCCCAACGCACAGCTTTCTTTTTATATATAATCTGGTTTTCTACAGTCTGTACTTGGTTCCACCTCAGTTTTGGAGTGCATTTGGTTTACCTTGTGGGTCTTTGTGTAAATGCAGAATCAAAACTTTAAAGTCTTTAGTGAGGAGGCATATGATCTGCATATCATTGACGAAAGTTAGCCCTCGTCATGAAGTCCTAGCATGGGCAGTGCCTGAAGACAGTCAGGCTCCCCTGGGATCGCTCGCGAATAGAGAGGTTTCTCCGTTCGGAGTACTTTCAAGAGATTCTGATACCCCCGCAGCAGAGAGAAAAGAATTAACCCCACAGGAGACATCTGTTTCTGCTGCTGTTGCAACACTTGTCATAGCCTGAAGCATCAGTTAATTTGCACACGGATGCCATTAACAAAAGTGGCTTAACCCATCCAGTTTGTCCCAGCTGCTGGCCAGAATATCTGCAGATGAGTGCACCTTACACATGTGCGTGCATGGTGTGAGGTGCCCCTACCATACCAGGAAACTTCATATGGGAATTTCCAGTAGAGTCAGAGGCCCGACCCCATGCATATGCCTGCTTTTTGCTTTGTCACCTTGGTTGCGTGCATCAGCATCTGAGAGCTTCGTCACCTTGGTTGCGTGCATCAGCATCTGAGAGCTTCGTCACCTTGGTTGCGTGCATCAGCATCTGAGATGAGGCTTTAGAGTATTGGGAAGTAGCCCAACCATCAGTAGTTTGTATATAGCCTTTTGAGGGGAAACTTGAACAAATGCTACACTTCTGTGGATTTACTGGTGAATGTGTGTGTGTGCACGCACGCATGTGAGCACACGACTACGCACATTTGTATGTTTATGTGTATTTATGTTGTCTGAGTGTGCGAGCATCTCTCAAATGAAGCCCACACAGGCAGAGTTCCTGGTGCATAGATACAGTTGCCTCTTCTACCATTGTGCTCAGACTCATGGCTCTCTTCCCAGGAAGCAGTCACCTGCCCACTCTGTTGCTTTTTGTAGTATTTCAGACTTGGGAGAAACAAAGGCAGCTTGTTGGCTCCACAGCAAACCCACAGGGACAGGCTGTTTCCCTCCAGAAGAGGGTGGAGTACACATTTTTCAACCAAGGAGCAGAGGGAGCCATCCGAGACACCCCACAGGACTCCCAGAGGGGAGGCACCCACCCAGGCAGGTAGCACCCAAGCATCCCAAGATGAAGTGGCCTGAGCTCAAAGGCCACTCTTGTCCTCTCTGGAACCTTGGAGGCTTTAGAGAAGGAGCACGGTCTGCAGATCATAGATAAAGCCTAGCCCAGGCATGTAGTCTCAATCCTGCTCTCAGACTGAAACTCCCTGATACTGCCTGCCCCTGCAGGACATCACTGTCATTCACAAGCTGTGTCTCCTGAAACCAGTGTGGCCTTCACCAGTCTTTCGAGGATGGGTTGTTTACCAGTCTAGCAAACCAATAGAATACAGAGGAATAACTTGAGGGGAATCAGGGGCGCTTGCCCATGTCAGGCATTAAAGTAGAATGCTCCTCTAGTATTGTATATTGAATGACTGGACTTAGCTCTCATAGGTAACTCTGGATGGCTTGATGACCTAGAAACAGTTGGATTTCGTTTTCTCAGTCCCGCGCCCTTCTTTTACTAGATGGTTCCTTTCTCCCTGTCCCCCACCTTTTGTGATATATGGATTATTTCTGCTTTACAGAATTCAGAGGGCCTTCTTTCGTCTTCTGTTTTAGTGACATTTCCCCTTCCCCCAGGCAGTAAGGCTACTTACCGTTACAAATATTTTTTTTGTTTGTTTATTATTTCTTTCAAGTGCGCATTGTCTTTCTGTAGCCAAAAGAAGTCTGTGACTGTAACCACAGGTATTTCTTTTTACTGGAAAAAAAATTTTCATTTCTTGTTTTTATTTGTATTGTTTTAATTAACAGTACTAGTGACTTTGTGGAAAACTATGGTTACTATTTAGGTATGCTTAGTTAAGTACAATACACTACATTGCAGTGTTTCTGAAACCTAGAACATACACATTATATATAACAACTCTATATTGAAATATATTACAGTATATTCATTTTAACTTTGACTCTGCCAATGCTCATGAGTTGACTGAAATATTTCTTCACATGTATCACCCATCCCCACCTGCTTCAGTTACTCTGGTTCATTTAATGACCGTTATGGTTCTAGTTTGCTTTTTATATTATCAGCTTCAGTATTGTCTTTAGAAGATTTTAGGATTTTTTTTTAAAGCTCAGATTTAGCACATGTAGGAAAGTGAAAACTGTTTAAACTTTAAAAAATGATTTTGCTGTGGCTAATACAAA